TGCTGGGACTGCAGCCACCTCCCTCCTGCCTCTTCCTAATCAATTATCCTGTTCCCAGAGAAAAACCCAAATATTTTAGTAGAGAAGATAATGGAGAGCTGGAGGAGAAATACCCCACAGTCACAATTTAGGGATAAACATAAACTTGGTGGAGAGCCAAATGCAGTTATTGTCTCCAGTTTTCTCCTCTTTTCCCCAAGGCTTAACTGAGATACCTGGGACTGGGTAATTGAAATGGTTCAACCTTAATTTTTTTCTTGCAATTTGGTTCTTCCTAATCTACCTCTCCCTATTCCTTTCCATCCCCCCATTCTTCCAAGAGATACCCCACAATGGAACGTGGAGTTCATGAGTTCTGTAAGATTTTGGGGTAAGAAACTTCTGAAAGCTTCTTAGGTCACTTACCCACCTCTGTGACAGCTTAAAAACCACTCACTATAAAGCAACTGAAGATGGTGCACAAATATATAAATAAGATATATTAATTTCAGCCTGGAGCACAGGTTTATCAAAAGGAAAAAGAGTGTGTTTGACAAAGTGCATAGCAGAGTGTCTCTGCAGCACTGGTTTGGTTCTGGTGGTGAAAATAATGCTCTGGCAGGTAGAAATCATTGGAAGATCCAGCTGTGAACATGTATTATTTCCTCTCATATGGACAAACACAAGTGTCTCTCAGGTACCATTTGATTTCAAACTGTCAGCTGAAATTTGTGCAGATGATGATGATGACACCAGCAGGACTATTGAAAAATATGTTTTTAAATAAAAATGCCATTTCTCCTTGGCAGATTGAAACAGCAAAGGAACACTATGGAGCCATTATTAAGGCCAATGCTCCTACAATATTCAAGGTACCACTCTCCTTAAAATACATTTTTGTGCAAGAAGCTCTGCGAGTGTGATTTATTGCTGATGTCCAGACGTGTGTCATCCACAACCTGCAATGAAAGCAGGAAGCAAAGGTGCAAAAGCAGGATGCTGAAAGGGGAGTTTAGATGGGATATTAGGAAGAAATCCTTCCCTGGGAGGGTGGGCAGCCCTGGCACAGAATTCCCAGAGCAGCTGTGGCTGCCCCTGGATCCCTGGCAGTGCCCAAGGCTGGGATGGACAGGGCTTGGAGCAGCCTGGGATGGTGGGAGGTGTCCCTGTCATGGCAGGGCTGGAATCAGATCTTTTCAGGTCTTTTCCAACCCAAGCCTTTCCACAAAACACTGATGTGCAGCAGGAAAGAAATCATATTCTGCAGTTGCACCTGTTTAACTTTGCTTTGAAGGTATGAAATGTTTCCAATGCCAAATACGTAAAATTAATTCAACTTACAGTTCCCTGAGAAATAGCACTTTGTTGCTATTTAAGAGGTGCAGAAGAGAAGCAATCAAAGCATCCAAACATTTCTGGCATCTGAGACTCTTCCCATGCCATGTTATTCATGAAGCAGAGCCCTGCTGGAACTTGCAGGTCTCCAAATGGCAATACAAGAGACACGAGCAAAAATTTGCAAGTCTAAACACTCATTTGGAACAGACATGACATTATTCAGTGAAGGATTTGTCATATCAAACACTGAGCAATAAATTGGGATCTACTTTTCCATGATCTAATATTATTTCCTACCAGCATGTCACAACTCTGACGCAATATGCTGTGAGCTGAATTGATCCCTGTCCTTCAAATCCAGCCCCATTTATGGATTAAACATACATTTATCAGGGAGTTATATGAAGAGGGAGGAGAAATCTTTGCTGCTTTATCCACGTAGGAACATCCCTGCCATACTGCAGGAAACAGGAACACAGAGCACACAAGGCTAATTAGGAATAAAGCAGAGTTTCCTTGCAATTTCCAATCAATGGCTCATCAGCTCCATGAAATTCTTGTTATTTATTTAAGTTTTCCTGGGATATGGTCACGTTCCCCACGGGAATAATGCAGCAGGATATCAGTGTAAAACTAATGTCAAGTTTTTTCAGGCAAACTAAAATTTGTTGAAATGTTCAAATAACCATCAAGCAAATCTTCACTTCTACCATTAAAAATCATCTTTTTCTCTGTGTATAAAGCAGCTTTAAACCACTCCAGCCAACACAAAAGGACTCAATGAAGAGTAGAAATACCTCATAAATCCAAAATCAATGTCAGATGAGGAAAACTGACTGTACTAAACAAATATAAATCACAATATACAGAAACAGAAATAACAGCTGAAGAAAAGCTACACAATAATCACAATACAGCACGTTAGTAACAGGAGGTAAAACCCTACAGGAACTCAGATTTGCTTTACTGAGGGCTTTGTCACTCGTTAGATACCAATTCTGGAACAAAATCAATAGCTGAGAAAAATCATTTTTAGATCTCCATATGTCTAGCTTTTCCCATTCTTGGCAGAATGGGCAAAAATTAGCATCACATGAATGTTTTTTAACCAGCTGCACATTAACTGTGTCCAACATTAAGTCTGGGATATTGAGATGTTTGTTGGATCGACAGCTCTTTAAAACCATTAAAGACACAACAGTAAAACAGCAAAAAGTCAAAATAGCTGTAGAGATTTCAGTGTGATTTAAAGGTTGTAACAACTGGAAAAGTAGCAGGAGAGCTACATAAATCCATTTTTGGTATTATTTTGAGTATGTGGGTGAGATGATTTACTAATTTTTGGTAGCAAATAATGAGTATTTTAACAGGTTCCCCAGAACAGAATTCTAAGATCCAGAAGTATGGCCATGCAGAATGATGACAGATGACCATTTTAATTATCCAAACATCACTGCTCAATTATGATACAACTTAGAGTATTTAACATAAAACCAGCCTGGATCAGAAAAATATCTGGGGGGAAAGTCTTCACACTCAAAGCCAGTCATTTACCAAATCTTCCACTCAGTAAACCCCAAATAAGACTGATAAAAAAAGGGAATTTTATTTAATTTCCAGAAAGGGGAAACGCGGTAACTCTAAAGAAAGCGTTGGAATGGTTTGTGATTCGTAAATGGAGTTTCATTGCTGGATTAATGCTGGATGTCCACACCCCAGTGGAGCTGGAACTGCACACTCAAAAGGACAAAACCACTGCTAACTGCAGGGATAATCTGCTCCTTGTTGAAAAGAAACATTCGTATGACTTATGTAAATATCTGTGCCTAAGACAAGCAAGGGAAAAAACATGATAAATTGTAGAAGGGAAGCAATTTTCTTGTTCCATACTGTAAGCTGGCATTTCTTTGGGGATGAACACAGGTTTCTATTGTAACTGGGATGCTGTACATGGAGGAATAATCACTATTTAATCAAGTCTCTTCTTTCAGACTCTTTACAGAGAATGCAAGAAATAAGTGCAATTAAGTTAGCAAGATCTAAGCAACTGCACAAAACACCAGAAAACAAAAGCAGAGTATTTTGGGGGCTACAGGGGGAGAGGAAACAAACTGGTGGAGAAGGTTTTTGGAATTAGAATTGTCTGGAATTATTTGATAGCTCAGTGCAATAAATACAGACTCCAAGTAAAAAAAAAAGAAATGTCAGATCACTGATCTGGAAAGGGCTGAACATCCCTCAGGCCAGGTCAGCTGGTCCTAAACCATCCCTGCTCTTCCCAACAAATCACTTCTGCTTCCTGGCTGGATGTTTCACCCCAGATCTCCTGCCCTGCATCCCACCCTGCCAGGGGCACTGCGTGTTTGATGCCACCACAGCTTCATTTCAGTGAAGAAAGGAGAAGCATTTCTTCCCACCTTGCTCCACGTCTCCTGAAAACTTTCACAGTTAATCCTCCAACTCTCTGACATGTTCAAGGATTTGAAATAATCCTGGTACCAGCTCTCAGTCCCTTTTGGTGATTCTGGGAGTGCTCAGCTCTGGGTTTTGCATGAATACCACAATTAGTGTGGGGGTGTCAATCATCTCCCATCTGCTGACTGCAAGAGGAATTCTCACCTCTTCCAACCAGGGTTCTCAGCACCATGAGCATGTCTGGCATCACCTCCTGCCCCACACCTCAAACCCAAACCTTGCCAGAGTCAGGCAGCGCTGCCTCAGCTTGGCCATCACCTCTGGGTGTAAACCCACACAAAGGACACAGCTGTCAGAACAGCTGGGACAGTTCAGGCTTTGGACTGCATCTAGAAGGAAAATTTAATCATTCTAATTCTTACAGATAGCTGGGAGAATGACCCATTTTCTCAGCTGCTGAAAGACAAAGCTGTTGTAAGACTATAAAGATGATTTAAGAGCATGTATCAGTTTAGAAGAGGAAAAATTCTGCAAGCTCAGACAGTTGTAAAATTGCCACTTTATGGCTGTGTCTGCTTGGACTCTGCCAAATTTATGAGGCCACAACACCTATATTATTGAATATAATGTCTAGCTTCTATTACCTTGTCTTTGCAATCAAACCTAATGTTTAACATCACAGCCCTTCAATAATGACACTCTGTATCAATTAAAAACAGTAAAACCAGTTCCTTTCAGCTATTACTTGAGGCTCAAGAGTAATTAGTCAAAGACTGAAGATGCAGAATGAGAGATGAAATATACTTGCAACTTTTGGTCCACCAAAAATCCATATATCCACTTTTCTCACCCCCCTCAGTGCAGCAGTGGTTTAAATTACAGAGCATCATTCCATCCCACCACAGAATGTCTTGATTGCAAGAACACAGGCAGACACCAGCACTGTTAAAGACAATCAACACCTCCCTGCAATTCTCTGCTCACAGGGAAAACTGGATTCACCGAGGCTCAGCAATTGTGAAATTGGGCAGAATGTAACTCCAGAAGATAGTCCCTTAATTACAGGAAATCCCATAAAAATCAGACACATTAAGTGCACAGAAATTACGAGGAACTAGAAAGGCATTTCAAGATAAACGTAAATCCCCTTAAATACTTCCCTCCTCCCTCCTTTTTGGTTTCTTCCTCCCTGTGTTGACTTCAGAACTGAGATTTTGTTATTATTCTGATTTTTAGCACATCCAAGCAGCCCCGAGGGTCGCCCTTACCTCCTGCCCGGGGCGGGGTCCCACAGAGCAGCACGACGCCCTGGCCCTCCCGCACCGACACCGCGCTCCTCATCTTCATCCTGGAGCTCTCCCCATCTGCCAGGGAAACAGAAGCGAGCAGGGTATCAGGAAAGCTGAAAACAGATCAGCAGACATTCTGAAGATTGACATTCTGAAATCCTGACCTCCCTCCTTTCCTGGTCTGCAAGAGAACCCGGCAGCTCCAGCGCAGCAGCTGCAGAGGGAGAGGCTGCTCGGCACGAGGGAGGATGGCAGAGTCAGGGCTGAAAGGAACTAATCTGCAGCCTGATAATTGAACAGATCCTGTGGCTAATTTTGTTCTTATGCCTGGCTTCTGCTACCCTGACTTTGATAACCAAAAAAGGAGCCAATGACTTAAAAATAGGCCCTCAAGCCACCGTTTCTTCGGAAATGAAGGCTGTGATGAACACAGCATCAAGATCCCACTAAACTCCCGTGTCCAATGTAAAATAACATTAATAACAGGTATTCAGAAAAGAGATATGGATCCTTCCCAAGAGAAAGGAACCTCCTGGACCATATTCCTGCAGGAGAATCCCCTGGAGCATCACTAAGCCAGAGCTCTGCACCTCGGTGTGCTGACCCAGGGCTCTGCTCTGACTGGCCTCACGTCTCTGGGATTATTTTAGACCACAGGACATCCTGAGGTGGAAGAGATCCAAAAAGATTACTGAGTCCATCTCCTGGCCTTGCACAGGACACCCCAAAAATCACACATAGCATTGTGGGGAGGGTGGGATGCAAATACTTCAGTTTCCATAAATGTAAATATTTTACCATAAATTTATATTGGCTTTCCCTCTACTTGGTGAGTCAAGACCCAAGAAAGTTGGGCCTCATCACACCCTTAAACTAAGCTAAATACAGCATGCAATACAAACCAAGATCAAAGTCCTACACTAACAAAGCCTTTTCCATAAATAAACCATGTAATTTTCCATACAGAAAACAATTAAAAAAAAAAAAAATTGTTTATAACCCTGTACAGGATACTAAACTAGCACAGTCTTTAAATAAGGCTGCCTTTATAACCAAGCATAATAGGAGCAGAGAGTTGACCAACAGTAGCTATTTCTCCAAAATACAGCATTTTTTATTACTGCAAAGCAACAGCTGTTACAGTGAGAACACTGAATAAGAGCAATTAGAATTTCAATGCTTCCTTTAAAAAATGCTGCAGTAGGAGAGTGTTGTACAATCCTTTGTTAGTGCACATAAAGTTCACAGGAATGTTTCTCAGAAGGGCTGTTTTCAGCTTTCCAAGTGAATTTCCATGCAGGTATCCTCAGAATAAACTCAGATCCTTTTGCTGGCTATGATGTAGAAGTCACATACAACCCCAGCCAAACTGATTTCACTCAGGGGTCAAAACAGCACAGCCTTAAATTATTATTTCAGGCCTTTGAAGCATCTTTCCCCCATAACATTATACACTCATCAGCTGCCCCAACAGCATTCCCCAGAGCCATGGAAGGAAAAACCAGGAGCTGACAGCACCTCAGAGAACACACAGTGCTCTGTTTCAGCATGAATCACACCAAAAGAAGTAGCACTTTACATATAAAACTAATTTAGACCACATTTTGCCCTCTTACATCACAACCAACACAAGTCTTTAACCTTAAATAAAACCATTTCCATAACTGAAATGGGTTCTTAAGCCCAGGTGTTCATCTATTGCAACCACAGACCTTCAGAACCTTCCTTGCCTTTGTGTTGTCCAGCACATGGTACGGGCAGGATGGGATTGGGCTGGGATGTGGGACATGCTGGAGGATCGGGAAGGCAATCATCCCAGAGAGAACCCACCACAGCTCTGCAGTTTGAGCTGCTGCAGTGATGTAAAAATTGCAATTATTAATCCCTGACTGCAGGTGAAGAGTGTTGTCACAGAAAACCAGTTTTTGGGGAAACAAGAAGCAATGCATATCCATCCAAAAGCAGGTAACATGAGCCACGCTACCATAAAATAATAATTTCCTACAAATTAGCAGGAAACTCTCCATCCTGCCTTCTGGAGCAGCTCAACTACCAGACTCATCACACAGCTGCCAAAACACCATCACTTAATTTCTCTACAAACTTCTGAATTCTCTTGTCTGGCTTTGAAAGTGATGAAAAATCAGCATGCAAAACAGGAGCAGGGTTCTTTATTAGCATTACACAGTCAAGTCCCAATCTCTGACCTTGGAGAGCACTGGCTGCTTCCAAACACGAGGCTGGGCTGATTTTCAGTGCTCCTGCAGCAGATTCAGGGGACTGAAGGTCAAATCCAGGCATGTTTGGAAGCATATCAAGAGAGATTGTTTATCCTTCAGCTTCTTTGTTAGGGTTTTTGTTTGATTTTTTAATAAAGCCACTATCCCAAGCACAATGACACCAGGGAGGAGAGCTGTGTATCTTCTAACAAAACTTATTATTACATGAACTCGTTGGGAAGGGACATTAAGTCCTCAGGGTAAATAAAATACCTTAACAGGTGGACTAATATTGGCAAAGCTTGTTTATTTGTACAGATTGAATTGTATCCCTGAAATCAGAGGCTCTTTTCCTGCTCAAATGTCTCAGCAGATAAAATATAACTGGAAACGAAGAACAGAGATTGGGACAGAAGATGGTTTTGAGGAGTGGTGAGTCAGAACAGGACTTGCTTTTCAGCACCCATGTGGTAACAATATCCCATTCTCCAGTGAAAGGAAAGGCCAGAAACACACAAAGCATTTCTGCATTTTATCTGCTGGACTAAAGATGGATTTATTCACCAGCAGATTTTTGAAACTCTCTCAAACTGGCCACCAAACTGATGTGCTTTCATTAGTTTCTCTTGCCTTAATCTTTTTACTTCCTCCTTGCATTTATTACACCTCGCTTCGAAATCTCCTTTCATCTGAAACGAAACTTTATTCATGGACAAAATTAACAGTTCAATTATTTAACCCTACTGGGCAAAGGCTCTAATCCTGCCACTGAAAATATTTTGGTAAAAATTTTACAAAAATCCTGACTACAAGGAGGAAAAAATGCAACATAAAAACCAAGCTAGAACTGTAATTTGCAAATTAAATGCTTTTATTGCCTGTTTATAGTTTGCCATATAGAAGGAAGTTTAAAATTAGCAACTGAGGCAGACTCCTGAAAAAGCATTTTCTTCTCCTTTCCCCATGTATTTGCCTCATTGCTTTAGTACCAAGTCCATAAAGTTGTATCAACTGAAATACACACGGCCATTGCAATAAAACAGAGAGAAAAAAACCCACAATTCAGCCTTGTTGAAAAGTCTTTGATTCTGCCCAAACTGAGAACAACAAAACTAGTTCCTGCCCTTACAAAAAGGATGTGAAATCTGCATATTCCACTGGGTTTTCTCCTGATTAAAAAGCCAAGTTTTCAGTCTCAAGCACTGAGACTTAAAGTTGCTGAGAAAGATTCCAGAACGTGGAGTGACAGTAAAGCATCAAACCTGTAACAGCTGCATCTCAACACTCCTGTGATACCCAGGACAATTAAAAGACACGGATTTGTGGATTCATCAGGGGAAAACACGACCTGAAGCTTCTCTGGAAGGTAAACGAGACTGAAAACAGCGACATTTTTATTAAAGAATAAATCAGGACTCATCTGCAGAGCGCGCTGACCACATTCCCCGCGAGCACCTCCCAGATGTTTCTGGTTTCTTTCATCAAGAAGGGAAGCAAAGGAAAGGGGCAAGATCACATCAAATACCACAGCCACGCTTTGAAAAGACACAGAACATCACGCTATGAAAAATTCAGAGCATTTCTGATGACAAAGCTGCTCCACACACACAACCGCTGGCGTGTGGCAATGCTGAGTTATGTCGTATTTTGTCAAGAAACCTGTGTGATATTTCACCCCCAGACACCAATTCTGTACACAGGACCTTTGTAAGATTTGCAGGCACTGCTAGAACTTGCACCAAATCCTATTTATTTTTTTTAAGTAATACACAGAGCACATTCACTGTGAGAGGGGCGGATTCAATTTTCTGGTTTTTTTTTCCTAAATTCCAGTTTCCAACTCCAAGTCCAGCAACATCCAAGCATCTCATCACACTTATATCAATTGCTCTTTATTGTCAACACATGTTTATTAGCAATTCTACCAGGTTTTGAAAGCTGCAGAACAAGGATTCAAGCTCTACAAACATAATTGTCCCTTAATAGCCATGAAAATATTTATTGTATTGCTGCATCAGACCCACTGTAATTCAAAGGAGCAGAACTCGTTAAATATACTTTAGGTGTAATTCTGTACTGGTAGGATGTTCAAGTGCCTAAATGAGTCAGACAACCAAATCTAAGCTGTTTTCTTGAGTGGGTAATTCTGAAGTGGAGACTCTGTTTGATGTCAGCCCATAATGAAGCACTAATTCACAGCCCACTCGCCCTGGTAGAAGTCACATTATTAAAAAAGATCGGAAATTCCACTCTCTCAGCTCTTGAGGGCAAATAACAGCCTCAGCACGTTGTAATAGCTATGTTGGTAATGAGAACTGCTGGAGAAAACAGAGTAACACCAATTTGTTTCCTTAAAAAGAAAAAACAAACACAAACAACAACAAAACCCAACAAGCTTCACCAGGTTGTTCAGCCCCAAACTCACCTGTGGGCGTGAACAAACCCTCTTCCCCACCACCCTACACCCCAAAATTGGCTATACCAAGGTCATGAATTTTGTATTTCTTTAGACAGGCATCCAAAACTGAACACACACTTTGCATAATTAATTTCCACCAGGATATTTGGGATACACAGCCTGTTAACCCCAACACGCTGCCTTGAGAAACATCACAGCAGGGCTGCACGTGAGCCAGGGGAAAACCTTCTGCTGCCTTCCCAGGGCCTGGATGGAATCCCACTGAGGTAGGAGGGAGGGATGAGACCAAAAATTATCTCTGTAATCAATTTCTGCTGGGCAGAGAGAGAGGATAAAAATATTAACAGTGCAGGAGCGAACATTACTCAAAGCAGGCAAGGTGGGGGTGATTTGTCACTTGAGGAGAGATCCAGAGGCTGCTGGGGAAGCATCTCCAG